TAGCATACCATACTTCTTTCGCTGGACACTGTACTTTATGACGTTTCTTCGACACAGCATCGCATTCCTCCTCTCTCAGGCATTGAGGAGTTGGCTCATCCATGCTATGCTATCAATCGATAATACGTAAAGGATCTGGTATTACAGGTTATGTGATGATTGACTGCCCCTCTTGATCATTCACAATTCACCAAACTGTTGATATCCTGCTGGGCGATTTGGAGTGCAAGACGACGGGCTATTCACGAAGGAGAGTTCCAAAGCCCTCTCTCTACGTTGGGATTTATTAACTCTTATCTGAATGAACTTGGTGAGGTGCCCATGGTGGCTAGGCCAGTGGGGGTCGCTGTGTGACTGGTCCTTCGGGGTGGACGCCGCCTCCACCGGGCGTGGTCAAAATTCATGTTGATGGTGCTGTTGCTCGGGCTGGGTTGGGCGCAGTGAGTGCGTTCTATTTCATTATGGTTCACATACTTGGCTGCTACCAGGCCTAACTATCAATAAGTATAACTGCCTTCTAGCTCTTCTCTCTCGACGAAAGTACGGGGAAGATGCAATTCTAGGGAAGAGGTTGGTACAATCTCTCTAGAAGTATTAGTCCCTCTAGAAGTATTAGTTGCCCTTCAAAGGGCAGCACCATACCTTTTTACCAGGAAGAAGAATCCACTTGCCTAGTTTCATAGATGAATCGAGCCTTCTTCGGCCTTTGGTTACTAGGAGAACGGGATGCATCACCTGCGTGCGAGATAGGAGTGGTGGGTACGATCTCAATCGAAGGAAAATAGGTGTAGGTTGCGCTTTCGCAATAGTGTAGTACTTGAGGCAGAATCCACCACCTAAGAATTAGGCATGATTGATACAAAGCTTATCTGTAGACGGATAAGTGAGTCTCCAACCTTAGCTAGTTGTACAAGGCACACTGCCAAGGCGTATGTATTAGCCAGACCTAGAAATTCATTACCATGATTCCTCATCAAAGAAATCCGTTCCTTCTCTTCCTAAATTCTAAACCAAAGTGGTGAACTTCCACAATGGTCGGCACTCTCTACTCTTTTCCCTCTATTGACTAGAGTCAAGAATTAATCCACATCTGTTGAGCCCTATTCTCTGGTATCTGCTGACCCTTCGTTGTTGAATGAATTATACTTAGCGTACCACCATGGCATGGCTAATAGCACGACCATTGTCTATCTCTACCCTTGCATGAAAAACACTGTCTTGAAAAAACGACTTGCTTTTTGAAATTATACATCAGACTATCAGGCATTCAGGCTATCAGGCAAGCAGTCAAGTAGGAGGGTGCCCATGAAGAGGTTGTCTTACACTGCACAGGTGCTGAATCATTACCATTAAAATATGGCAACGATGGCGGATGTTATCTTAATTAGAGGTTCGCTTTCCTTGGATTGAATATGGGGGTCTTTTGCATGATAGATCAGGTGCCTATTGATACACCAAAAGAGACTAACGCTATGCTCCACTTTCTTACTTTTATTCCTCAGCTCGCTTACAAAAACTACATATTTTTTTAGATATGGACCTGGGGTTCTCGCTTTTGCGCAAGCTATTTCCAAACCTGCCTGCCTTCGGGGAGATGGGTTGGGTCATACGTGGGACCTACCCCGAGGAAGGAGGCTTGAGGCGCGCTAAATACAATTGTTTTATCAACACGGGGTGGAGAAGGCATTGCAATTTCCTGCTTTTATGATTGCTTCGATTCCTCTGATTCTTCTTCTGATAGGAATTACCAATCCTTTATTGGCTATGTCATCCTCTGTTTAGTAGATGTATGGTATGGTTACTAGGTAGTGTTGCTCGATACTCGAGCTTGCACCAGTATTAGCTGGCTATTCCACTATTGCCATAATTCTTATGGCTATTGGCTTTCCAGCTTTCACCTCTCTGCAGCTTCTGGAGCTGCTTAAGCGCTTAACTTCTACCAAAGTGTGGTATACATTGGATGGAATTAGAGTGGGCGTGGCTACCTACATCGGGCAAGAATAGGAGTCGTATTTTGTTTTGTATGAGATAACAGCAGTCTTTACTTAACCGAGCATCGTAGGGCTTACTTCATCACACATAGCTGTCTTTACTTTCGTTTCGCTAACCGCCCAAAAGCAGGTGCGCACACACAAATGCTAGGCAAGATACGTAGTTCTCTCAACCCTTCCTATCCATCATTACAGACCGGAACTAGATCGGATTAGGTAGAGCAAGACCTTGAGCCTCTTGAGAAACCAATAGAAACGACAGTAGCTAGCTTCACCAGAAGAGGAAGAAAGACTTCTATAACTTCACTTCCCTCCACTCATACTCTTTACCTGTGGGGCTGTATGGTACTTTAGCTGGACTTTACACCAGCTCTATTCACTGATAGCATTACTGGCTCTTTTCCAGCATTTCTTGAAAGCAGCTCGCACTCACCACTGCGCACCTAGTTAGGCTTTGAAATAATAGGAACGAAGATCTTCCGCAATCAATGTTGTACTCAAATCCTCTCTGGCCGGAGAGGGGGATCTCTTAAGCAGAGTATTCCGAGTCTAGGGCTAGTGGAAGCGTTGAAGAGGGATATCATTTTCAAAGAAGGCATGGGGCCCTTTCGTCTTTGTAGAAACTTTCACAATATACCAAGTGGATAATACCATCCAAGAGAGAAGGCCCATAAAAAGAAGCAGGCAACAAAACATCTTGATTTATAGGAATCAACGACCTCGCCACTGCAAAGGAGGAAGTCGAATGATTTGGATTCGGACAAGCTGTCTCGACAGTAAGAAATCGACATCATCATCTGTCTTTCATGATGGTGAGAGGCAAGATTTCGTGGTAAAGCACAAACCAAGCATAAGTGGATAGCAACTTATACTATGGAGGCAGAGTCTCCTCCCCTCATTTCGCAGCTTCTTTGCTCTGATCCTGATCTCTCTTTCAAAATTGCTACATGATTTGTGAAAAGTGAACAAATAGGTCAGCCACATAAAGAAGAATATGGGTGGTGTAAGCTTTCCCGCCTGATCTTTACCTAAAAAAATGGAAGTAGCTCGATTCCAGTATCAAGGAAAATGGGTTGTATAAATCTTCTTTGAGAAAAAGTTAAACACTAGGAAAAAAGATTCTTTTTAGTAATACTTTATAAGCATGGAAGACCCTAGCAACGTTAGGTATTACTAAAGATGAAGATCGAAGTCCATCCAAGTCTAGAAGTAAGCCCGAGACAAGTGAACAAAGGCTGGCGTAAGCACAAGGGCGAGCCGAAGAAAGCTTTTGAAGAAATTGGTTCGGACGTCGAAGATAGGCTAGCTAGGACTGAAGCTTTGAAGCGGATTGGTACTGCTTTTCCTTTGGGCTCAGGCATGGTTGACAAGCGGGACTTTCCCTTTTTGTTTCCCTTCGGAACTGGAACTACTGCTGGAGCATCCAATTCGTCAGTTACTGGCATGTCTGGTGAAAGCACCTTTTTTCAAAGCAAAGGCGCGCAGCGTTTAATTAAATAATGGGCAAATCGGGAGTTTGCAAGCTATGAACTTGTGGTAGTGTAGAAGAAGGTCCAGCATATCGAGGAATAGGAGCCACACCAACCATGAATGGTCGAATCGTCGAGTAGTAAGTTGTAGGGGAAGTTAATCTTCTTCTTTTTTCGAAGCTGTCGGTTCATCCTAGTTTTTGGTGAGTACTTCAATATCTTTACCATCCTTTCCCTTCGCCAGTCTTAGTTCTTAGAAAATCAAGTAAACCACTGCCCAGGATTTCTTTCTGGGGCTCGCCCCATCCTATAATGTTTCACACACCAAAAAAAACCAGAACGAAGCAAGATTCATGCATGGTACCAGATAGATGTCATCAAAGACAGATCACTGATTCGGAGACTACCTAATAGTATGATCTATATCATCCAGGTGGAGTATGCATGAAAGAGTCCGAAGCTTCTTTCGTAACTCCCGGAATTTCTTCGTAGTGGCTCCGTTCCATGCCTCATTTCATAGGGAAGCCCAAAGTGGCTCTATTTCATTCTATTTCACTTCCTATCATTTAATATCCATCCCTTTGGTCTTATTGACATAAGAGATGTCATTTATAGTCTATCTCTTTCTATATATGGAAAGTCAAGAAATTCTCATCGAAACATCGAGAAATTGTGCATATAGAAAACTCTAAAGAAAGAAAAAAAGGAGACCCATGCCATGATTTTCAAATCTTTTCTACTTAAGTAGTCTAAAGTAGTCTAAGTTTCTCGATGAGGATAATTAATTCGGTCGTTGTGGTCGGACTCTATTATGGATTTCTGACCACATTCTCCATAGGTCCCTCTTAGATCTTCTTTCTCCAATCTTGGGTTAGGGAAGAAGGAGATATTCGCGACTACTGGCGGTTTCATTATGGGGCAGCTCATGATCTTCATATCGATCTATTATCCAATCCACCTCTGCATCTATTCTTTCTTAGCTAAACGGGTGGAAGATCCATCCAATTTGGTTATATCATGGACTCGAAAAATGGATCTGAATGTGACTGAAATGCACGATCTTCACAGGTATCACTTTTCACGATACCTAAACCTAAAAGGTGGAATAGCGATTTTTGAACCATGAACGAGAAAAGGCATGAGAGAAATATTGGCTAGTAATTGTGAAGCCCCAATTCTTAACTGGAAGGGACACCAAAGGGCAGAGCTTTTTTTTAGTTTTTTCATCTTTTCTTTTCATCAAAGAGTTGAACAATGAAGATAGATGGCAAGTGCCTGATCGATTTGATCAGGTCGTGTAGGAACAACGTTCAAATCGTTCGTTTGTTAGGATGCCTCAGCTACATACATCACTGCACTTCCACTTGACACCTATTTAAACGGCTCGTCTCGCCGCTACCTTATCCTATTTCTATACTTCTGTCGCTCCATCCTCATATGGGTGGAGAACCCGTCGCTGTCTCGGCTGTGCTACCGGAGGCTCTAGGGAAGTCGGAGGAGAGAGCACTCATCTTGGGGTGGGCTTACTACTTATATGCTTTCAGCAGTTATCCTCTCCACACTTGGCTACCCAGCGTTTACCGTAGGCACGATAACTGGTACACCAGAGGTGCATCCTTCCTAGTCCTCTCGTACTAGGGAAAGGTCCTCTCAATGCTCTAACGCCCACACCGGATATGGACCGAACTGTCTCACGACGTTCTGAACCCAGCTCACGTACCGCATTAATGGGCGAACAGCCCAACCCTTGGAACCACCTACAGCTCCAGGTGGCGAAGAACCGACATCGAGGTGCCAAACCTTCCCGTCGATGTGGACTCTTGGGGAAGATCAGCCTGATATCCCTAGAGTAACTTTGATCCATTGAGCGACGGCCCTTCCACTCGGCACCGTCGGATCTCTAAGGCCGACTTTCGTCTCTGCTCGACGGGTGAGTCTTGCAGTCAAGCTCCCTTCTGCCTTTGCACTCGAGGACCAATGTCCGTCTGGCCCGAGGAAACCTTTGCACGTATATAGCACTTAGAAGAGTGACTTCTCCCTAATAAGGGTTTAGAGTATAGAGAGGATGCCTTTCTATAAACAATAGTAATAGTAAAAGACATAAAGCAAAGACTAGATTAGATGTTGAGTCCGCCGGCATTTCTTTTTTCTCGACTTTTTCGAAGATTGATTGTGACGAACTGGCGCATTTCGTTGGGGAACTTATCATAGTCTTTTTAGTTTGATTTATCAGAAAGAAGGATACTTTTATTATTACCGTAACTTTGATTTTACTTGATACAAAGTTTTGATTACGAAACTTTCCTTGTGACCGGATCTTTTTATGCTCTCTTGGAACCGACAACTTACTTCATGCTATTACTAACACTTATGACTGAGCCGCACTTGCTTTTCAAAAGAAATTGAAACTCTCATGCCTGAGACTAGCCAATAGAAGAAAGAGCCACAAGCAAGCCATAGCAGCATCCTTTTTCTTCGCTTTCTTCAACAATGCGAATCTACCTCACTCCTCATCAAAACTCAAATACAAATTTATAGTATCATCTGGTTCTATTTCCTCACTACAGCAATAAAATGTGAAACCAATATTCATCATGAAACTTCAGACACTGATGATTGTGAGGGAAGAGAGACGACGTAGGCTGATTCAAAGTGAACAGAAAACCAACCAAAGAATGGAAATTCATTCTTCTAAACAGGAGGTCTAGAGCCACCTTCCTCTAGGGGGCATCCTCACGATCCTGCTCTTTATCCTTTCTTCTTATCCTCATCTTCCGAATCATCAAGTGAGCAAGACTACATAATAAGAGAATGCGGGAATGGATCTGAGACTGATGGCTGACCGGCCTGCACCCACCGAACCCTTAGCCCTTGCTTCAATTAGAGCAACATACGAATCTGCAGAAGCATCTAATAGCGATTCTTAGAATCAGTTCGGAATGAATGCTATACTTTTTCTTCCCCACTCATCTTATTAAGCCTTTTTCTTAGCCTGCTTAGCTTCCGTGCCCAGATAGACTTTTACTATACTATAAAAGAGAGCTAGATGATCTGTTATCAAGTGAGAAGAAAGGCAGGTCCAGAATGACGTTGATAGGCCTAAGTCCCTCACCTAGAGTCATCGTCGGAGGAAAATCGGTAACCTAACCTACAGGAGTAGAAAATGAAGTAGGTCCAGGTATGATCAAGCTCTGTCGTGAGCCGGTGCTTGAACCGTGGTTGAGGCTGCCGATGCCTCTCACATTAGTGAAAAGACCTCCCGGCCGCTAAAAATCAGGCTAGGCTTGCGAGCCCACCTTCCCTAATGAGAAAGAAAACTAGAACTATTATAGCCTTTACTATAAGATGGGAACTCTTTCTGACTAAAGAAAAAAGGAAGCAAAGCTATATTTTGATCCAAGCCCTAGGTTTGGCTCACGCCCGAAAACCTATAGTACAAGGGTCGGTGGAGGGGACCCTGAGACCTATGGGATGAGATTCTAAGGAGGATTGAGAAGGCAAGAGGGATATCAAAGGATTCTCTTCGGTCAGGTCTTATATAGGCTCTTCAAGACGAATGGTATCGATGCACTGCTCTCAGGCGAGATTGAACACGAAAATAGCATGCACGGGAGTCAAAGTGCGCGCAGCAAATCAACTAATAAAGAGTACCCTTTGCCGTCTATGTTCAAAAGGATAAAGCAGGCAAGATAAATATAAGTACAGGAGAGGAAATAGGAATGAATTAAAGAAAGTAGGACTATCTCCAGATAAAGTTGTTAGAGCGAGGTATTGCAAGGATGGATTCGAGAATGGTGTTCAGAACGACGCTTGTCCGCCTGCTTGTGAGTCAGTTCTGCCACTCTTTCCTGCTGAAGCAAGAATCTGAGGCATGACTAGACCACTCTTCGATGAGATAGTCAAGACCCTGGTAAGCGTTAAGAAAGAGAGGCCATAGGCACAGTCTCCCCTTGGAGTAAAGGGTCTTGGCATGTAGTCTGGTCCAACCACAACAATAGGGATTGGAATGAAAAGTGTTTGTGCCCACCTCACCAACCATCTTGTCCCGATACATACCTTCCCCTAGCAAGATATCATGGTCAGTTCTTTGTACAGCCCATGGTATGATATTTGTCGAGAAGAAAAGAATGGCAGCCGTGTTATCACAGTAGATCACGGTTGTCTCATATGCATGCTTAGTCACATCAAGACAAAGAAGAGAATTTCTCAGCCATATTGCTTCTTGAACTACAGCCGTGCATGCTATATATTCTGATTTGATGGTAGACAAAGAGAAACAATCTTCTTTCTTACTGCACCAAGATATTGAGCCTCCTTCAAGGATAAACATATACCCTTTCCTTTTTTCGTCCATTTCTCAGCAATAGCTACCTGAATGGAAGCAAGCAACCCTCGAGAAGAAGAAGAAAAGTGGTCGAAGACTACGAGTCGAAACTAAGAACAATCGAAGCCAATTTCCCTCAGCTGGAAACTCTCTAGATAGCTTCTTAGCGCTTAGCTACTTTCTCCTTCTGCGCCGCTAGCGCTACTACTCCTAGTGATAGGAATAACATACTATTTTTCGCGATGAGGCCCATCTTGGACCGGTAACGTATTCTAATGATCTGGATCTCTGGCTTATCTCTTACTTGACGGATTCTATTTCAGCTAGTGGGATTTCATTTAAGTGACGATAATCAGGAAAGAACAGGGTGGATTGGCTCTGATCGATACCATCTAAAAGTGCTTGCTTCATTCATTCGTGACATTACTGGTTATTCTTATTTAGTTTCGCCTCTAGTGACTCTTGGAATCATGCGCATGGCTCCATGCATATTCATGGGGGGCCTAACGAGTGCTACGAGTGAATGCGTAGCTTTGTCTTCTCTTATTCAATTTCGAGTTAGAGGTTAGAGGGAAAGATAACTCCCCCAAAGCAGCCATTCTCTTAAGAAGAGCTATTATCCCTTGTTATTTCTAAAATGTGTATCACCATACTGAATCTAGCGCAAAGCTAGGAATGATTATCGGAAGTTGGCTACTTACTTAGGTAAATCAGTTCCTTCTCTAAGACCTAACTGCGCTGTCGAGGGTGATCTTGAAAGAGCACATGAAGGATAGGGAGGGACCGGAATTCCCCTTTTTGAAAGAGCTGCTTGTACTCAAGCTTGAAGGTGGAGATCTTATAAAGGTTGCCAGTAATCAAGAAGCAAGCAGGTATCTATTAACAGCAATAGTCAAAGTCATATAAAAGGTAGCCAAAAAGAAGCATCGAATCCATTAGGTTGTATGAAATGAAAGGAGACCCACAGTCCCACTTCTCCTCCCCCCCGCCCCAGAAATGGGGCGGGCCTCGTTCTTCTTGACGATACCACCGTTCAAAAAGACTACACCTTTTCCCTAAAAACAAAAATCTGGTTTGGCAGTCACAAGGAAGATTGTGTACCCCAACTCAAAAAAACAGGCACGGGACTAGCCCGCTGTCCCGAGGACAAGAAAAAGGCTATGTTTAGCCTTTTCGTGCGCGATCCCAATCGTGGACCGAACTGTTAAGTCGATATGGGCTTTATCTTAGGTTCCCCCGTATAGGTATAAAACCCTTTTCCAGTTAATGTTATCGAGGACCTGGGCGATTTTGACCCGCTTCTCGGCGCTCGCCGTTTCAAGGTGAAGATCTTCGTTAATCCTTTTTAGGATTTTTGATTTTCGTATACGCTGGCATGAGCGAATAACATTTTGGATTCGTTCTCGCAAGAACGAAATGGATGGTGCTTCAGGTTCAGGGTTCGGCGGGGTGTGGCTTGTGGATGGTTCGGATGCGGCATTTTCCTCCGATAAGTTGAGGTACTTTTGCCAACTCTCAGAGGCGGATCCTAAAGCCGACCCAGAAGAATTCATCCAATTTATGAGAGCGGATTCGCTACCGAAGAAGACCCCAAGAGAGAAAGAATCACCAAGGCGAGACTCCCAGGGCAGCCCATCTTTCTCAAAAAGGAAGAGAGGGTGAGTCCCCCCAGAGAGAACCCCATTCTTTCAAGAAAGTTAGAATAGAATTCATTCTGTCGAAAAAGAAAGCAGGAAAATAGGAGTAAGCGAGTAGGGTCAACAAGATTATAAACGAATACCATAAAGGGCGAAGGATATTGTTTATATTATTCAAATTATTATTTATTGATTGATTATATAATTTTTTTAGATCCATATTCATTTTCATTTGCAAATACAAACTCTCTTGCATTTTCTTTTTACTTTAGCGCTAAGGATAAGGGAACGGAGAAAAAAAGAGCTGGCTTGGCTGGTACATCAAGCATATGACATATTGCTTGTTCGGTGTGGTACACATATCTGTCAATGTCAATCAAGTAAGAAAATTCATTCCCACTGTCTGAGGAAAAGGTGAAGAATTGCAATTTATTGAGCTTGTAAGGCCCGTCCCCCGAGAAAGGGTATAAATAGGGCTATAAGTAGGCCGTTTGCTATTGCAATAAGGGCTGCTCGCCTTTCCTTTTGACGGCTTGGCTTCCTATCGCTCCTATGTAGTGGTCGGCCTTAAAAGGAGTCTTCCTACCATACCATCATGCATGCCTATGCTATAGTGCGTTAAGCTTCGCCAGAAGCAAGCAAGATGATGAAGCGAAGCTTCGTAGACAAGGCTTGTTCCGTGCTTGACTTACGAGCTCGTGTAGTAAGGCCTCGCCCTACTTCAATAAGGGCTTATGCACTCCACTCGTAAACGAGCGTTAGAGCTTTTTGAGCGAGCGAGCGAAGCCTTCCTGGAGCTTCCCCCTTCCCTCACCCGAGAATTGCATTTCCGCTTTAGCTTCCCCGGTTTAGTTGGTTTGGAGGATTAATTGATTGGATACCCAATCCGCATAATCTTTCAAAGTCACTGCTTCTACGACGATAGGCGTAAAGGCATGATTAGTTCCACAAATCTCACTGCACTGACCATAGTAAACTCCTTCTCGTTGTACCGAGATGGAGGTAAGATTTGAACGACTAGGTACAGCATCACATTTGACACCTGAGGAAGGTACAACCCAACTATGAGGTACATCAGTGGGTGTTACAATCATACGTAGATGAGTTTTGGCTGGTACAACCACTCTATTGTCAACTTCTAATAAACGTGATTGACCCAATTCTGGATCATCTTCTGGAATCGTATAACTGTCAAAAGTGAGTGACTGTTCATCGAAACTGTTATAGTCCGAATACTCATAAGGTTGGGTCGACGCCCGCCTCCCCCCAAACTTGACTTGCAAGTTTCCCCGCAAAAAGCTCTCCACGCCTACTCTTATTTTTAAAGAGCGCTATTCTTCTTTAGTTAGGTAGTTCTCCCCCCTCTATGAGACCGTAAGACCCCGGTGGAATCGAAGGCCCGCTTACTAATAGGCAAGAGGGGACCCTTTCTCGCCCAGCCCTACCTACATCAGTGAAGCTAGAACCGAGGAAGACAATGTTCAACGCACATGAGACAAAATGAAGGTATGGGACGGCCAGTTCACCACGGAAAGCGAATTCGATCCTTTAGTAGTCTTCTTTGTTCTAAAAATGCGCAGTGGAAAGGGATGCTAGCCGGCTTTGGTGAAGTTGTAGGCCCCAATAAATCAGATCAAGAGTGATTCCTCATCTATCCTGTCAGGGGCCAAGTCGAAGGCTCGAGTATAGATTCCCTATGCTCATGTGAACGGCCGGCCCATAGATCTAAAAGGATCCTTCATAGGCCTGACCGGAAAGTATGTTTGTCCACGAAAAACAAACTCGTTCATGAGACCTCAAATTCCCACCCCCTCTTGAGTCACCCTTATCTAAAAAAAAAGGACGGAGTCTATCTAGATCACAGGATCACTGTATTCAGAGGTCAATTCTCTTTCTTTGACCTCCCACCGTTCACGACATCCCTTGCTTCTCGCAAGAACGGCTCCTCGATGGAGGAGTAGAAGCACTGGTCCCCTTCGGTCAAGTGCTTGTGCGTGCTCTTACCTACCGTAGGACCTCCGTCCCCGAAGCAAAGAAGGAGGAGCAGGAACAACAGGTTGTCCTCTCTTGGCCCAGTTGTTCCGCAACTACTACCATGGTTGTTGCCAACGGGGATCCCCCATTCCGAAAGGTAACGGGGCCGGCCCTTAGGTCCAAAGTTGTATGCCACTGCTGTGGTGCCGATAGATTCACTACTGAAGCCCCGTTATCGGACATTGTAGGCTTAGCATCTATTTTTCGTATATCGCTCCACCACACCGAGAAGAGGTATGTGTACCTCCAGCAATAACAAGAATGGAACCATAGGCTCCTATGCTGGGAGCATTTCGGGGTATAGGTCTAACCACCTCAACTCCCCGTTTCTGGCATGCTATAGTTCTTTTAGTCTCTCGACGACGGGAATGGGAGATGACCGGTAAGCCAGATGCTTCGCGAACCACCGGTACATTTCGTTGCACTTAAATCACCCTCGTTAAGAGGCGCACTCCGATACCATTGATGTCCAATAGCTTTGATAGTAATGGCTGGATCTACTAATACCCCGTCCATTGAGTATAACAGAGCAAACGATGGTATAGCAATGAACAATGGAATGACACTAGGAAAAATGGTCCGAATAATTTCGATAGTAGTTCCATGAACAATCCTTTGCGGGATTGGATTAGTTTGCTCGTTGAAATGCCATAAAGCGCGAACCAACATCCGTGATACGAAAACCAAAATCAGAATGAGGAAGAAAAAGATATCGTGATGTAAGTCAATGATTCCTTGCATCATAGGTGTTGCTGCGTCTTGAGATCCTAATTGCCATGGTTCCGCAGCATCACAAAGAGCGATTGTGAGGAATCGACATTCTAATGAACGAAGAATCATTGGAATTTCCCATCTTTTGAAGCTCTGCTCCCAAAACAAAAGAGAAAGGAGACTGATCTTGACGTCGGCGTTGGTTTTTCCAACGAAAAACAAATTCGAACTTCCATGAAAAAACCAAATGCTAGTTGCCATTTTATGTAACGCATACACTTCCGCGTCCCATCGACTTTGGCCAATGAGATTACTATACGCGTTTTCAGAGGAACTTGAAAAGTGAAATAGATTCAGCACCACCATTGGGCGGGGAACAACTACTCCTTTTTTCTTTCCTCAATCGTTCCTCCTCAAACAAAAGTATTCCGTTCCCATTGCTAAGGGGCTTTGAACACCTCGGGTGCGCGCTCGGATGGTTCACGGCAATTCAAGGTAGTTTCTACTAATAGCTCAGGGGCCTGTATCGATAAGAGAAATGGCATCATGCCTTCTTCCGTAGCCTGAACTATCCAACTGGACTCCGGCTATGCGGATTGCTTTCTTCATTTCAGTTGGGTAATTCGACCGTCCACCTTCCATACAACTTGAGTTGGCTTTGATCGATTGCTTGGTGTCACGCTATTTACTACTACGGTTAGCTAAATTCGTTTATGACACCGATTCATTTCTAGTTGATCCATTTTGTAAGGTCGTTCAGAAGCAAAGGCCTACTACTCTACTATACAAGACAAGTAAGCTGGTCAAGTCAAAAGAAGGTTCCTGACTATCTAGTAAATGAGTGCACGAAGAAAGGGAATGGCATGTTCACAAACTGGTACTTTTCTCCCGGTAGGTATGTTTTACAATAGGCATGTGCCATGAAGCAAGAAAAGGAACAAGTCAAAGCAGAAAGAAAGCCCACGGAAAGGAGTGGGCACAAGGAAGGGATGGGGAGTTTTTGAAGTTTGAGAGATAGTGAGGAAGAATCCAAGGAATGATCAAATTCAGTGATGGATGGGAATCGTGACACTTCATCGGTACATTCTTATCTACTTCTCCGGAATGAAAACTCTACTGCTAATGGATTTAGAAAAAGTCGAGCGAATAGCTGCCCAATCAAAGTCTTCTCTCTGACTTATCGAGTTTGAGGAAGGATGGGGATTGAGTACGGATAGGGTAGTAGTTACCATCCAGCCTGTGTCAGTTTACTGCCATCCAGAAGCTGTAATTGCTTAGCCAATTGCGTAAGCATCCGGAGTTGCACCAGTTAGATAGGAGAAAATGGAATAGGAAACATGAGTCTTTCCTGCCTGGCCTCTATCTTCGAGCAAGTTCGAGTTATCGTTGGAGTACTTGGAGTACTAAGCGATTTCAGTATGGGAAGTTTACTATCGGTTCTTTCATATGCTAACTTTGCCAATGCCCTTCCTTAGCAACTACGGGGTCTTCGGCATAAGGGGAGTGCATTCATGTGATATGATATTGGTCTAGTTTAGGCTGCTTGAACTTTCTCTCTGTTCATTGATTCATTGACTATCAGAGATAAAAGGAATCTAGGACAGTCATCAGTCACACAACCTCTTCTTGTAATGCCTCTGGAATTGAAGCTTACTCCCCTTCTTGAGTGATTCCTGTTGATGGAAGATAGGCTAATTTAGGGTTAGCCTAATAGCTCATCATTCCTCACTCTATTCTTTCAATTATAGTAATAAACTGGACCTATCAGATCCAATGAACTACTATATTTAGGACAAGCCCAACACTACTACTATTAGAACATGCCGGGTAGGTGGTATCTCCCAAAGTGAAAGGAAATATGACCTCATAGAAGCAGCCGCCAGGCCAGCCGGAAATTTACTAAGTCTGGTTTGAAATGACAATTCATAAGTAGAGTCACACACGTTAGACGACAATATGCTCTAGTCTTTCAATTCTAGCAATGATATCCACTGTGCTATTCAAAGGTATTTGAGTGGAATGAACTCATCTTAGCCTGGTGTTGGGGAATTGATGAAACGAGCCATTCCTTTAGGCGTAGGGGCAAGTGAAAGAGATGGACAGAGACTAGGGAGGAAGATGGAACGAAAGAGATGGAGAGAGGCGAGAGAGATTGAGTGGAGGGGTCGAATCGCAAGAAACGATTGGAGCGGATAGATCAATCGAAGACGAGACAATCGGGGATAAGGATCGAAGGAGGATAATTGCCAAACTAAAGTGAATGGTGGGATATACCTGAAAAGCCAAAAGCCTAAATCAGTTCTATTCAAAGGAAAGAAAATAATCTCTCACTTATCTTATGCTTTCCTAGCTATCAAACCGCGAACGAAAGAATTGATCTTGCTGGATTGAAGTGAAGTACTTGCTTATGCCATTCACCTAGAGTTTTCTAGAAATACTTTCCATTGATTTCAGGGCCCTGTCTTGCTTATTGTTTCAGTGGGATAGGAGCACTACTTGCTTTGTCTTTACTGGCATTGCTTGAATATAGGCTCATAGAATATTCTTTCAGCATGCAAACAATCAAGTATAGTAGGTCAAGCCTGCTAGTATATAGAAAGATAAAGCAGCCTATCAAGTACTTATCTATGCCGGCAAGTAATATAGTATGAAGTAGTTTTGCAAAGAAGCTTGTTCTTTCGGAGTAGATTGGCACTATGACACTAAGGGTACACTACTAGCTTTTGATATGTAGTTTTTCATAAACAGAAGAAAGAGTTAGTTTTCTCGCGTGCCAGCAATCTCGTTCAGGCACTAAACTAGTTTCGGGGTTCACTCTAATCTAAGAGCAGGGGATGGAGATGGAGCTGAGGAAAGGAAAGAACTTGCAACGAACAAGCGACGAATTGCCTTCCTTCTTCCTTGAAGGTTGGACTTACTCGAATTACTACATTTCCTATTTCCGCTAACCCTGTTTGTTCGCATATCAGGTTCGGCTTGAGCGCAGACATCGGATCGTATTGATGGATATCGCATGCTAGTGAGTAACCCTTTTTCCCTGTGGTCGAGCCCGTACTGCTTACATCTCTTTAGAAAGCAATAGGTCTGTCCTCCATCTTGAAAATGCATTACTTTATTCTTTATCTTCCATTTGGTCGCCTTTTCTCTAGCATAGTAAGTTAGTGGTATCCGTTCGTCAGTAGATCTGTCATCTACTTGGCTTGACTCCCCCGCTTGCTATAGAAGAACTGGATCATACTAGTAATTAGTCTGCAGATAGTTCCCTTCCAATTCGCCATGTTCTCCTTTAGCTTCTTTCAATTTGCCAAGAGAAAGAGCACCTACCCTCCTTTCTTGCTTCCATTCTATATCGCTTCCCCTATGAATGAGGACTCTCCCTAGTATATCTTGATAGGAGCCCATCGATAGTGGAGTAGTTCTTTCCTTCCTTCCCGCTAGCAACAACAACCCTTTCTTTTTGAAAGATAGATCCTCGATCTGAGGGATATTCTTCAAACCGGAGCCAACTAATCAATGCTTTTATCTATTACGCGAGTTTGGTCGTTGGCCGAGTTACGTTTCTTTTGCTTTTTTCGATCAATCCAACAATTCCTTCCTGCTTTCCGAGTTACGGTTTTCTCACCTGCTTTCCTATGGAGAACATTCCAATGAACGGACAAACAAGGGCGCACCGGTTCTACACTGGCCCAACCAAACTACCATCGACTAGGCCTTTTGAGGTTTATTCACTCCTCTGAAATGAAACTTAGCACTTGTTTTCCAATCCTTGCTTGTTTATAAGCAGCTTTCTCCTTTTCGATTCCCACTGCTCGAAGTCGGCTTTTCCTTCGCTCTGGGGGATATTCCTTCTACCAATCAGAGTGG